AAAAAAAATTTAATTTGATTTTAATCTAATTCAATCGAATTTGATTTGAGTACTTATATTATGAATTTGATACAGTGGTAAAAATTGATTAAGGTTATAATATGGCCATTAGAACAGTGTGAACTCGCTTTGTGTGATTATTGATTCTATAAAAACGGGCGAGGATGACTTACAATTGTCTATTTCAAGGAGAATGTCCAATTGGTGATACAGTTACACTTTATTGAATTTTGTCGAGTTTAGCATTTTTAGCAGTTAGCTATATGTTTTGTCAGCTCGTTCGTTTTATTTTATGTTCTGAGTCCCTAATTCCAGAAAAAGGGGTTGATTTTTTAATCGTAATTTTTTAGATCGAAAATTGTATTTTGTTATCTAATATCTGATTGGTTTTACCTGTATATTTTTTAACTGTTTATAGCACTGAGAGATAGTCAGTAAAAGTAAGTTACTGAGTCATTTTTATGATATTCAGTAGTTATTAAATCGAGAGCTTTTAAAATGACAATGGATTTAGCTGTAAATACCAAACATAAATTAGGTAGTTTGAACACAAGTTCCAAATTGATCCATACAACAGTTGCTTCAACCCCACCCATATGCTTTTTGATGCACTAGTGAATATTATTTTCACTTGCAATATTCTGATTAGTTGATACTATAATGTTGTTTATAAATAGAGAGAGATGGATATGTAGAAGTTTTTTTTATATTGAACGTATGGTGTTAATTTTGATGGTTTTATATATTTATTGTATTTTGAGCTTGCAAACGTGTTTATAGTTGTATATGCTTTTATAACGCTTTATCAAAAACTTACAGTGCAATTTCAGTGAAGCCACTAACGAAATACACACACACACACACACACACACTTCTTTTAAAGAGCAATTCGGTGTACCTACGTAATAATGAGTAGTTTGGTTGTACAGCAAGTCTAATAAGTAATGTTATATAACCATATAAGCTTTCTTATAATATAATATAATAAATATATTTATATTGCTAATATTATGAAAAATGCATATAAATTTGTACGATTAAAATTGTTCATTTCACATTTCATTGTATGAATTAAATTAATTGATTTTAGAATATTATATTGTCTATAGACTATATTATAATAAATTGGTATGTACATGACACACGCTCTTATATGAATTTTATTTTACAGTCTTTCGTAATCTTTTTCCTACATGTAAGTAACCAAGTACGTTCATATATATAAATACACAGCATGAGTCACATTTGTTAAATTCAAATATAAGTAGTCACAGGATTCAAAAATCGATATAACGTTAGAAAAACGGCTTATACGCTTTTCGCTTTTCTTAAAAGGTAAATTTTGGTTGGAAGTGTTATCGTTTGATAAAGTTTTGAACAAGTTCGGACATGTAGTTTGAAGTGGTTTGTTTTGAAGCTCTTTTTATAGAAACTCAAAGGCAAAAATAATATGTTTCTGACATAATTTTAGAAAGTCACATCAATAACCATGGACTAAGGAGAGTTGATAGTTTATAATAGATTTATAAAGTAATATACTTGCACTTAAGACAACAAAATTTGTACGTAAACAATAGTTATAATGTTATAAAATAATTATTTACATTTTATAGATGGGTACCTCCGTATCGACTTTCGATCGTATTTTTTTACTGAGATCGATTAAATAAATATGAACAAAGTAATTTTTACAAATCTATAACCTTTTATTATTAACGAATGAAAAAGTTATCCTTTCTACGCAGTATTACGAATCTTTGAAAAAGTTTATATTCCATAAATTCATAATAATTCAAAGCATATTCTTTATATAGAAATCAATTTATGCTTATTTTGTCTGTCAAATAAATACACAACGATCACAATATTCTATATTATTATGTAAAATATAATTCATACCTGTGTTATGTGCATACTCCCTTTCTACCTTTCAATCAAGAAATATACGTAGTATAAAAATGTAATAACGTTCAAAACAATTCAATTTATATGATTAATATGAAATGATTATTGCACTATTGTATATTCACTGCAGGTACACTGTGGTGTACGGATAACTATTTACATTTTCTTATAATTTTTGAAAAAGTTAACTATAAAAAAAATTTGTTTGATTGAAAATATTAATTAAATATTGATCTTGATTGTAATGCCGTAATATTTAAGTTCGATTACCTGTATTAAAATTACCACTGAATTGACATATTTTATTTATAATTTATAACTTATACGAACTCGTCGTTCAATTCTCTGGATGAAGTGAGACAGGAAGTCATAGCTCCGTTTTGTCCTCGATTTTGATCACAGACATTTTGTCAATACCGCAAGTTGAGCAAACGCCTTAATAGGTGTTCATTCAATCGATTTAGATTTATTATAAAAACCCATTATAAATTCAAGTTCACTTAAAATGTTCCAATATTATAGGTAATCGCAAACGCGTTTAAATTCTTTGAGTTCTTTGATATTTGCTTACATGTCGAAAATATCGATTTCATAATGTTAGGTTACTATACAATATACCTATAGTATAATATATATCAATTGTGAAAATATGTGATTTTCGCCTATGAATAACAAAATATAGTATTCTCTTAATTTCATGAGGGTCATAAGCCGTTACATCTACCTACTGCAAATATATTTACATACCTCGCCCAAACCGTGAACAGAACTATAACGTACGTGACAATTGCGAGTACCAGACTATCAGCTATATTAATAATTATTGTAATAATATATTATTATTTCTGTCGAAATCGATTATTTACTCGTGGCGAACGATGAAATTATAATATAATATTATCTCAATATAATATATGATTAATATGAGTAGTTGTTAGCCAACTATTAAATCTTTTGAGGCACAGTATATAATTGTTGACATCCACCCCATGACCAGACTAAAAACTATGCTGTACAGTTGCAGCCTTGCAGGGAGGGACTGAAACCGTACCGAAATTGACCGGTTTTAGACCGAAACCTTTTGAAAATCTTGGGACCGAAACCGGACCGGAACCCTTAAATACATTTTTTTAGGAACCGAAACCTATATTTTGATGTAGAGGTTTTTTCGGTTTTTTCGGCTCCGAAATCCAATAGATATTTTATCTAAGGTGTAAGTAGGTAATAACTAATTATTAGTACCTAATAATAAATAAGAATAAAATTGTAGATCATAAAAGCTTTTCAATGCCAAAAATTCAAATTCCAATTTCCAAGTAATATCGATATCAATATTATTATTGAATCACAATTTGCAATAGCTGATGTAGAATTTCTGAAAATAATAGCAATCGGTATATTTATAGCATATTATTATATTATTATTATTATTAACTTTTTGAGACAATGATGACTTACCGCTTTTCGTAGAACGCTGGGATTTTAGATACGAGGAAGATAATAGGCAATACCATACAATTAATGTAAATTTATTAAAAAAGTGACTGTGTAGATATACAAAATATGATAATGTACCTTATTATATCATTGGAAACTTTTTTGCTTTTGACCATCAGTACCATTTTCGTATCAGAAAATATAATAAGAGAAAGATTGAAACATTTTTTCTACTATAAAATAAGAGTGTCCACACCCTCACAAATATAAACACACATCATTGTAAAATCAATACACACTGTTCGCTCGGAAACTAAAAAAGGTAAAATACCTGCTCAAATGTAGGCACACAAATTATTCATAATGGAAATCTCACTACTGACTTTCGTCTATCTATATAGACACGAAGAAACCTCACATTTACCCACCCACCCTACGAAGTCTCATGCCTAGAAATAAAATTACCTTCACGCAGCTACTGAATTTCGAGATAGGGCGAGGAGGGAACAAACAATGCGTACTATTATAATCTAAGAAAAAAAAATTGTTAAAGCTATTACTAGGGCGCCGCTGGGCCGTCGTCGACTGCAGCTCCGTTTCCGTCGTAGTTATATCAAGCACCGTTCGGTTCGGGGCCCGGTCGTACAGTGACGACGATGTACAATATATTATAATATTTTACTATTACAGTCAACTCGCGATATAACGAATATCGATATAACGAAAATCTTGATATAACGAATAAAACTACCGGTCCCTTGAAAATATCGCGGTATAATATAATTTCGATGTAACGAACTTTCGATATAACGAATTTTTTTCTCGGTCCCTTGAAGTTCGTTATATCGCGAGTTGACTGTATATTATTATTATTAACATAAGCCTTACAGTATATTATAATATAAAACACTCGACTAAAATAATATCGTACAATAAGCGAGCGGTCTGAAACCCGAGAAGCGCGCATGTCAAAACAATATATTATAAAGCACAACAGTTTAATAACATTATAATAACAACAACAATAACAACAACGACAATACAAGAGCAGTGTTATACGCTATAGTGTGGGTGTGCGTGTGTGGGTTTGCGTATCGTTTTTATGTATCCTCGGGGAGACGCCCGCCGGTCCCGCCCCCGTCGCGATTTCGGGCCGTAATAAGGGTCGCCCGCCCGCCCCGCCCTGTCAAAGGGTCTCGGGTCCGACACGACGCGTGCACACGAAAAACGGGCGCACGCCGAACGCCATCGCCGTCGTCGCGATATTTAAAACAATAATAATAATATCATTTTGTCGCACTCGAACCGTCGCAGTGGACGCGTCGACGCGTTCATACGATTTAATAATAATATTAATATATTAATTTATTCCGCGCCTCTTCGTGCTCCAGACGTGCACCGAAGAGCTCCTTACCGAAAATCTCTCAAGAGCACTCCCACTTGGCGGCGTTTGGAAGTTATAATATTATTATAAGACAAGTCCCGTTTACGTTTTCTCATCTCGGTTTACCGATTGAACGTGGTCCGATGACTGCAGGTGGCCAATAATTGTATTTTTATGGCCCCGTGTATATGACAACATTATTATTGTTATTATTGTTATTATTATCATAAAACACCGAAAACCATCGTCTCGGACGGAATTATTACCGTCCGACATGCTGTCGTCTTACAGAAAAGGTTAGTGAGTATTATTATACCTGTGTTATCATTATGTGGCACGCGGATATCTGACGCTTTTAAATGCGATTTCGGCGTAAAATAATTATTAATACTGTCATATTACGCCGTGTCACACGCGTTACTACATCGGACTCGAAATAATATTATTATATTATAACGGTTAAGGTCCAAAAACTGGTAGGAGTACCTATACGTCAAATTAACCGGGTAATGCGTATACACCTTATATCCATATAAACAGTTAAATATTTATTTAATATCATCCATTTATCCAATATTTTGCATAATATATCCAATGTATACATCATAGCTGGTGTTCTGTGGATAATGTATTCGTATTATACCATAACAATCGGAAGCTGATAAAACCGGAGTTTGGGTGATGTGTATAGAGTTCAGAGTATTTCACTGGCATTGCGCTTATATACTTATTTTATTTTATAACAGCATTAATTATTCTAATCGTAGACATTTTTTTAGAAATTTGAAAAACCAGTAAAAATATAGTACTTACATAAACTGTTTCAAGCAAAGATTTTTTTTCACGGTTAAAATCTCTAAAATACCTATTATTGCTGCATGCGAGCAGTGTGTTTCATCAAAAACAATTATGAACTTACGATATTAATATTGATCGAAGTATGTAACTTCATCTACTCAGCCGTAGATATAATGTGCAAGTTATACCCTAGAAGATAACCAATAGCTAGTAAATGTTTTATAAATAATATTTTTACTTTATGCAATAGGTGTGGATTGTGTTCACCATATACCCGAATAATGTGTAGGAAGGTACATATTAACAAAATTTCGTACTTTACCCGTAACATATAGGTACATATTTTATACTCGGCTCGGGCCCTCTCCGCGTAAACGTTTCTAATTCGCTTTTTCACGTGTATCTGTGATGTTATTTTTTTTTTGGTACGAACGCGCAAAAATCCGGTGGCTATTTCAGCGTAATTTTTTCTGCGGACGTTGTCTCGTGAGAACATTCTTCACGAGATGTCTTACAAACGTACTCAGCTTATTATATACGCCACACACACACACACGACTATAATAATACGAGCTATGTGCAAAACGCTCATATAAGTGTTGGATACCCCCTCCCCCCACGAGCTTATATGTATCTAGTTTTCTCGAACCAACGTAATGATTTGTAGAGTTATAATAATATAGTCGATAAGACATCGCTAGAACATCATAATAAAATATTATTATTATACCTATTATAATGACAATAAGCACTATATTTGAGGAAGACAACATATTTTCTGGTTGTCTTTTTCGTTTCCGCCGAAATACGAACGGCTTTGATTTTCATTTCTACCAAAAAATAATATTTTACGTGGTTAATGAAACACGCCAATGCTGCAGGGGGTTCACTTTGTCCAGTCAGTTATAATCACCTCATTGGTAATCTATACGTAGACATTATTTTTGGTTTTATACCTACTATTGTGTATGATAAAACAAAATAATATTGCTGTTCGTCACATCGACGAAGGACAAGTGCATCATAATATACTTACCATTATCAGGGCCGTGTTAAGGGGGGACAAAGGGGTAATTTGCCCCCGGGCGAAACAGTTTGGTAAAATCAAGGGGCGCCTCGAGCTTGAGAAATTTTAATGAAAAAATTACGATGATTACTTCCTTAGTTATATATTTTTGTCGTACCGATAATAAAATAAAAATTAATCGAATTCAATTTTATGAAGGTACTTATGTACTAAAAATAATGATATAATAAACTGAAAATCAAAAAAATTCACTAAAATAAAAAAACATCTATACACATTTTATTGAAAGCATTAACAACTTCTCCTATATAATCACTACATTTCCATCAATATAAATTGCATTAAAAATATTTACATGTTTGCCTGTTTGCCATGTTCTAACTCAAGTGGTGAACGATCATTCTCTGTTCTTAAAAAAGTTAAAACATACCTTCGATCATCATTATCAAGTGAAAAAACTTCACAATTATCGGTCTTATGTATGGAAACAGAAATTACAAAGAATATTGATTGGAGTGAATTAGTTAATAAATTTGCTAAAGGGAAAGCGAGAAAAAAATTGTTATAATTTGTTTATGTAATGCAATTTTTTTTAATAAAACTAAACTAAATTTAGATAAAGTTTTCAACATTATAACTATATGATAGCTTAATAAACACTTATTACCCACTAAATCTATGTTAAGGTATTGTAATGCACATTTAAAATTGACCAAATATGCCATTTCAGTTATATTTGTTTTATGTCAACACAACATCAGGGATCACGATCATCAGAAAATTAAAAATATAGATGATAATCTTTTGGAGTCTTCAAAAAAAGTCATCCTATACTTTTTCACATACCTGAAATACTGGTGCGAAGTAGTCAATAAGTGGATGATATAAAGAAGAGAGGGGGACTGGGGCGCTTAAAAATGAGTGCCCCTGGGCGCCAAAAAGCTTAACACGGCCCTGACCATTATACTTACCTGTCATGGCGTACGCATGTTATTGACTATTATATAGTATATACATATTTATTATTATGAGTGTTTACTGTGAAGTTAAAAAAATGAAATCGTATTCATAATTTTATACCTTACTATTTTTGTTTACCAAATAAAATTATAGAAACTGTGACGGTAAATAAAAGTTAACTTCATGTATTTCTTTAACTCTGGACACGAATTCATTATGTCATTTTTTATTAATTTAATACCTATACATGTTATATGTACAATTAAATGTTTAATGTCATATATTTCAAACATAATTAATAATTTATTTTGATAAATTATAAATTAATAATTTTGTATGAAGTCGAGTATGCAACGACATCATTGCCGAATAATGGTTTTGAACATTTCAGTTCAAACCATGGGAAACAGAACCATTCTAAAACGTGTTTAAAACGTTAATGTTTAAACAAATCGAACATGGTTGATGGTTAGGTATATTACCGACAATTTATTGTAATTGTAGTGAACCGGTCGTTGGAAGTTTCAACAATTTTAAAAATATTTAAACTGCACAACATGCCTGAAGGTACTTCAAATAATATCAATTGAAACGAGAAGGAAATTCTAAGTGAATTGCTTTGAACTTCAAAATAGCTTGCTGAGTTTTGTCATTAGTTTTTATTTTTAAATGTTTGATAAGCCCGAAGTCGACTAACACCATAAAACTGTTCCCCGGCGGGATGATTGCCTGTTTTACCTCTACCCACACCAATACGACTGCACTTTACACAACATCCACGGTTCTTTTCGTTGTCATATTATTTCAATAATTAGATATGGTAGGTAAAATATAACTAACATAATATTATAGAACTTAGGTTAGACATTTTATTTTAATGAGATAAGATTAGTCATTATTAATTAGATATTATTATATAAAATTGAGAAAAATGAGAAAATAATACGCCTCATCCTATATAAACACGTGTACTGTGAAGTACTGTTGGTGAATAAAAAATATTGAAAAATGTTGTAACACAACTAGGTAGGTTATAACCGATGGAAATGCTCAAACCGATCTCACATTCTTAGACTACCTACCTAAACTAAATACGAATGATTGACCCTGTAGTAGTATAATAGTATTTATTAGTAATAATAAAATTAGGACAATATTTTATAATATTATGAACGTGTGGGTATTATATCTTACAATATACAGTATACTTATTTACACACCTGTAAGTTGTATTATGATTTAACCGTTTGTATTCAATTTGTTTCAGGAAAAGAAGATACTTCAAACGAAGTATACCATTCTACTGGTCCGTCGTACCCAAGTCCATCGAGTATGCTTCTATTCCAGACACAGGTTAGACACAAATGATATAATAACAATTAATAAATGATTAGCCTCTCGCTGCATTTTTCCGGCCTAATAAAACGGCATTTTGTTCCCACGTGATGATGATTGTTATACTGTTTGTTCGGGAACGATTCGCGTCGATTCGATCAATTGTACGTGGTATTTTTCCCGAACACGGATTTTATGTTTAAAAAAAAAGCGTCTATACTACACCAATTAATACAATATAGTCAACAACATATTATAATACATTGAAAAAAATAAATAACATAACATAGCTCGAAGGGGGAAAATGATTTATTATTACCTACATATAAATATACCTATACGTTATATTATATTATATACCGTACTAGTTTTAAGCGCCAACTTACGCGTAGGTACTTTTAATTATTCTCCAGTCATGAGTTTGTGTCTAAATTTAAATTTGGATAAACTACTGGTTGGCGTATATAGGGAAAAAAACGTTATAATGTATACGCTGCCAATCACGAAGTTCAAAAGTTTGTGATGAATTTATTTATGTCGAGGGCAGCTTCAAGCGGTTGCTCTAGTGGTATACATTTTAACATAATAATTAAAAACTATTAAAATGAAACTCAAATGTTTATTTCATATTTACTTTTCAATTTAACCTTGTAATTACTTATACACGAGTTGGATAAACATTTCACTTTAATTAAATTGTCATTTGTTGTAAAAGTCGCATTATAATATATTTTAAAACGAAAATATTTATCGGATAACACTATAAATCGTTAGGTGCTGTTAATAACTGCGTAATATAATGGACATTTTAATAAAGAAAACGGCAAAAAATCATTTTTTTTTTAAATGTAATAAGATGTTACGGTTACCGATAGTCATCACCGCACCACGTCCAGTCACACAGAATGGACATTATTGTCTCCACTACAATTTAATGAAGTTTAAGCGACATTTTCTGCCCGACTTGAAGCATTTCCTCATAATGTGTGTGATAGGTACTTACCTATACCATCCTACGTATATAATATACTATACCTATGTATTATATAATATATATTATATTATGTAGCGAAATCGACGTGTACAAAATAGCTTTTTCTGTCTCTTGTTATTTGCTCGGCGTGGGTTTTGTCAGAAGCTTTTATATAATATTTTTATTTTTAAAAAGTCATTAATAATTAAGTAAGTTAGTTAAAAATAAAACATTTAAATTTAATTTATTTAAAATTTCTAAATTGTACAGATAATATTCATTATTCTGTATAATTGCCATAATCTGCAACTACCGTAATTTTTACAAAATAGTAATCTCAGTGAGTGAACTACGGAGAGAGGTTTATTATTTTATTATTCTATATAGAGGTTATAAAAAGAAAGAATATTCTTATTGGCATACGCTCTTAAAGATTAGAATTCATTTTCTCGAAAAGTATTGATATTTTTAGAGATGTAGTATTTTAAACAATTTAAAAATCACTCCTAAACAAAATTTTTTAAAAATTATAAATATTACTGTTTTTTATAATTATCATTTTTGATTCTGAATGTATTGATTTTTACGATTGCCTGGTTATAGTTTTTAACTTTTTTAAATGTCAGCATAGATATTTGATTTCATAACCGTCGACGAATATTTTACTGGGAAATTTAATAGGTACCTACAAACAAACTTAAATTCGAAGTCCCTACCAATTTAATGTAGAAGTTAATCAGTTGTGCCTTTTTAATAATTTATAAAGCATTGTGCTAGCATTGATATAACTACTTATATAATAGTCATTCAATTGGAAATTGTCTGTTTATCGTACGCAATGTAGCATTGAAGCCTGTCAGTTGTAGGTATATAATACACCCATTTACTTTCGATTAAGACTTATCTGAACAGAAGTCTAAGCATTTATTTACTTATTTATTTAAAAAACAAAAATATTCATAACAGGTGGTATAATACTGGAATAGGTTATAACCAGTGTTGAGAATATGTAATAAAAATTTCATCTAGATAAGATACATATCATTTTATAAAAATTTATCAAGATACAGATAAAGATAGTCTAACTATTTCCTGATACTAGAACAATGACTATCCAACACACTGCAGCGAATTACATTATTATCATCCATTGTCGGTATAGTATAGGAGCCTTTGTAGCTTTGGAGATTATATTCGATTTTCTTTTCTGTTTTAGAAATTGTGCAACGGAAAATATTCACTCTCGATCGTTTTTTAAACTATTTTTATAATATTCCAAAGACACAAATAGATTTATTATAATTTTACTTTAAATCCAATATATACGACCACACGTACTATGGTAAACAGTCGGTCTATGTTCAGATGAATAACCGTATTAAAATTCAATTTTTTTTTTTTTAAAGCCTCTTTCATCGATTCTGGAAAATCTGAAATTTAAATTTCCAATCCTTTGATAAATAAACTACCTATATCAAGAGTCAAAATCAACGAAATAATAAACAAACAGAAAACAACATCTTTGCCTGTCTAATGAATATTACATAAAAAAAACACACACACACACAATTAAATATCTCATACTAGCACTAGCTACTATATTATTATTATATCATTGATTTTTTTATAGTATACAATAAAGTACCTTAACTATATAGTGTTTTATCAATTCAATAATATTACATACACGTCAACAACCTACCATGGTACTTAACCATATTATGCGGTTATATAGTATTAAGACATCAATCAGATTTATACCCGAGCTTATGTGAGGAGGAATACTTTATAATAATATAATATGTGACGACCGGGAATCATTAAAAATTTTAAACGGTCGGATTGTTTGTTATCGACGATACCTCAATCGTCCAATAATGGTAAAATGTATTGATGATTGTATGCAATATGATGCATATTACATATACTTCCCCATAATACCTACTATAACACGCCTCATTCAAGTACAATTATTATCAATCATCAGTATTGTAATCATAACTCGTTGCGATATACTGATATACCTACTATATACTGCTATAGTACTATATATCGATTAACTAAACATATTATTATGATCATATAGACACGTCAAGCAGGTAAACGAGAACTAATTTTACATTTACTTACCATAAAGACTCGAACTCTGGAGGCAACATATTATTAAAAATATATTAAACGATTTACCAATAATTGACAATAGTATAGTCAGAACAGTTATAGTTTTATACTTTTATGTCAAATATAAAAATTAATGTAAAAATAAGTATATAGTATAAAATGAAATATGCGTTTTATCTACATTTGAATATTTTGTGAAACTTTATAAGACTTTCATGTAATTTATTGTCATTGTGTAACAGATTTACTCCAAAAGAATATTGATATTTAAAAAAATTGCAAAAAAAATAAACTACTTGACTTAAATGAACGTTTTTATCGTCAAAAATACTTTACTTTAAAATATAAGTTTCTGTTCGATTTCAGTCCCAGGTTCAGGTGAATAATAGTATATTATTATTTAAAGGAATAGTCTTGGTCACAATATATTGATACCATACACCATAATAAATAACAATAATTATCATACATTTTTGGGTCGTATAGACTATAGATGATACACATGATAATACATTTTATAACAGTCCTAGCTACCGTCTACCTAGTACCTACTATATACACTATTGAATACTGTGCTACAATATTCTAATATAGGTAGGTATAATATATTATACTATAAATATAAATAAACATACAAATAAGTTCCTCCTGATTGTCGTATCTACACTATATTATTATAATAATAATTGCATAAAGCCACGCTTTATATTATTATATACTTCGAACCCTGCAGTATTACCTATACGTTCTGAGCTTAATAATAATAATGATAACAATATATATACATAACTAAAGCGAACAATACGATATTAGTATAAAATTAATAGTCCTTTGTCGGTATGGCGGTGCAGTACTGACACACACACACACACACACACACACACACCCACACTCATAAAAACACACACGTACATATATAACACGAGTGAGAAGCGGTTGTTTTCGGACGTGCGGGGGTGTAGGATTTGATACGGACGAGCTGTTTTCAGAGTCGCTGACATTTATGAACAAAACGCTTCATCGCAAGACAACTACCCCCCCCCCCTCTCACGAGCAAGTACCTCCTCCACCGACAACCCCTGTACACCGCGCTCGTATATAATATTATAGCTTCACGCACCGAATCACACAACTCGCTTGATAATAATAATAATAATAATATGTTCGTTTTGCGAAATTCGCCGCCAGCCCGACCGCCGCACTCGATATTTAAAAAACGCAATCCGTTTGGGAGCCTCGGCATTAATATATAGGCACGTACGATATGTATATATATCGCTATACGGGTACTCGGACCCCGTTCGTACATTATGGGTAAGGCACATACCTACATATACTATATGCTATACATATATAGTAAGTACCTATGAGTGAGACCTGCACGAGTGCCGACCATCCCCCTACACGCACTTATACCTATTATAATGCAAGATAATATATCGGGCAAAAGCCAAAATCGAGTAAGCCGATCGAACAAATTTTCGAGCTAAACTCGATCTACCCAAGGTATAGGTATCTAATTGTGGGCGAAATTCGACACAAAAACAACACACATTTCAAATTTTGCACGGCAAACCTGTTATTATAGTTGCGATAACCTGTGAAATAATTTTGGCAAATACCTATATATAGGAACAAATTATGAACAAAATAATTAAAATTGTAGGATTTCATTTGATGGTAAAAATTGATGCCAGAAACCAAAAAGTCGAGTACGATAGACAACAATTAATTACTACGTATAGCAAAGATGTGCCTGACAATGAAATACCATTGACAACGCAGCGAGTACTTATACTATAACTATTTAAAATTCGTTGAAATTTATTTTGTAGTTCAAAATTCGTAACTGTGAATTTCATTTCTATATCATCCAGCACCACGGTCGGGACACGAGCTAAGTAAAAGAAAAAAAATAACTGCA